AATTAGCTGGGCATGGTGGTGGGTGCCTGTAATCCCAGCTACTCAGGAGGCTGAGGCAGGAGAATTGCTTGAACCCAGGAGGCAGAGGTCACAGTGAGACGAGGTCACACCATTGCACTCCATCCTGGGCATCAAGAACAAACTCCACCTCAACAACAACCAAAAAAAATTAGATAGGTATGGTGGCCTGCACCAGCGGTCTTAGTTCCTCGGGAGGGTGAGGCAGGAGAATCACTTGAACCCACGAGGCACAGGTTGCAGTGAGCCAAGATCGCGCGACGGCACTCCAGCTTGGGCAACAGAGTGAGACTCTGCCTCAAAAAAAAAAAAAAAAAAAAATTAGCTGGGCAGCCGGGCATGGTGGTTCTCACCTGTGTTCCCAACAGTTTGAGAGGCCAAGGCAGGTAGATCACTTGAGGTCAGGAGTTTGAAACCAGCCTGTCCAACATGGTAAAACCCCATCTCTACTAAAAATACAAAAGTTAACTGGGCGTAGTGGCCTGTGTCTGTGGTCCCAGCTACTTGGTAGGCTGAGGCAGGAGAATCACTCGAACCTAGGAGACAGAGGTTGCAGTGAGAAGAGATCCTGCCACAGCACTTCAGCCTGGGCAGCCAAGTGAGACTCCATGTCAAAAAAAAAAAGAAATTTTTCAGGGATGGTGGCATGCGCTTGTAGTCCTAGTTACTCGGGAGACTGAGATGGGAGTATTCCTTGAGCCTGAGAGGTCAAGGCTATAGTGAGCTGTGATTGTGCCACTGCACTTCGCATTACTCTCCAGCCTGGGTGACGCAGTAAAACCCTAACTCAAAAAGGAAAAAAGAGGCAAGGTGAGGGGTACCAGGCACAGTGGCTCATACCTGTAATCCCACTTTGGGAGGCTGAGGTGGGCAGATAACTTGAGGTCAGGAGTTGGGAACCAGCCTGGCCAACGTGAGGAAACCTTGTCTTTACTAAAAATAACAAAAATTAGCCAGGTGTGGTGGTGCATGCCTGTAGTCCCAGCTACTCGGGAGGCTGAGGTGGGAGAATCACTTGAACCCAGGAGGCAGAGGTTGCAGTGAGCTGAGTTGGCACCCCTGCATTCCAGCCTGAGCGACAGAGCAAGACTCCATCTCAAAAAACACGAAAACAAAAACAAAGAAGGAGAAAAGGAATAGCCTACAAAAGAGAGCTTTTGGAGGAAGATTAAAAGAAGTTGCTCACTGGGTACAGTGGCTCATGCCTATAATCCCAATACTTTGGAAGGCTGAGGCAGGAGAATCGCTTGAAGCCAGAAGTTCACAACCAGCCTGGGCAGCATAGTGAGACCCTGTTTTGTTTTGTTTTTTTAAGGTTGTTGCTAATGGGTATAAAAATACAGTTAGATAGAAGAAATATGTTCTAGTATTCAATAATACAGTAAGGAAATTATAGTTAACAATAATTTATTGTATATATACCTTTCATGAGAGTTTCTTCACTTCTATAGTTTTGAAAAGACATCTCAGGGCCGGGTGTGGTGGCTCACACCTGTAATCCTAGCATTTCGGGAGGCCGACATGGGTGGATTACCTGAGGTCAGGAGTTCAAGACCAGCCTGGCCATCATGGTAAAACCCCATCTTTAAAAAAAAAAAAGAAAAGACATCTCTATCCTGTATCTTTTTCTCTGCATTACATATCTGTAATTAAAAAGTGTTTGTGTTTGTTTCTTTTGTCATTGCATAGTTACTCTGTTCATGGACCCAGGCATGAAGAATCTATAATGAATCTAATCCAGAAGGAAGTGGAGAAATGTGACTCTTTCAGTGGTTTTTTCATCATAATGAGCATGGCTGGGGGCACAGGATCAGGGTTAGGAGCTTTCGTTACACAGAATTTACAAGATCAGTATCCAAACTCATTGAAAATGAATCAGATTATTTGGCCTTATGGAACTGGTGAGGTATGGACATGTTAATTGAAAAGTTTATGATTTATATTCTTTGCAGTAGAAAGAAATGTGGGTAAAAGATTACTCTTACCTGTTCATTGGAAATGGTAAATTATGGCTTCCATAATGGTTATATAATATGGTACTTTCATGAGTAATTCATTTAACTTTTCTTAAACTTTTTCAAACAAACAAAGTATCCTTGTTTTTAAAAAGTTCAGAGGCCAGTTGTGGTGGCTCACACCTGTAATCCCAGCACTTTGGGAGGCCAACGTGGGCAGATCACAAGGTCAGGAGATCGACACCATCCTGGCCAACATGGTGAAACCCCATCTCTACAAAAATTAGCTGGGTGTGGTGGGACAGCCTGTAGTCCCGGCTACTCGGGAGGCTGAGGCAGGAGAATCACTTGAACCCAAGAGGTGGAGGTTGGAGTGAGCCGATATGGTGCCACTGCACTCTAGCCTGGCAACGGAACAATGCTCCATATCAAAACAGAGCATGGCTGGGCACAGTGGTTCATACCTGTAATCCCAACACTGTGGGAGGCCGAGGTGGGCAGATCACCTGAGGTCAGCAGTTTGAGACCACCCTGGCCAACATGGAGAAACACCGTCTCTACTAGAAACACAATAATTAGCTGGGCGTGGTGGCACACACCTGTAGTCCCAGCTATGTAGGAGGCTGAGGCAGGAAAATCTCTTGAATCTGGGAGGCAGAGGTTCCAGTGAGCTGAGATTGTGCCACTGCACTCCAGCCTGCGAGATAAGAGTGAGACTCCGTCTCAAAAAAAAAAAAATTTTTTTTTCAGAGAATAGCCAGGCAGGGTGGCTCACACCTATAATAGCACTTTAGGAGGCCAAGGTGGGCAGATCACTTGAGGCCAGGAATTCGAGACCAGGAATTCTAGACCAGCCTGGCCAACATGGTGAGACCCTGTCTTTACTAAACGTACAAAAATTAGCTGGGTGTGGTGGCACAAGACTATAATTCTATTTACTCAGGAGTCTGATGCACAAGAATCTCGAGCCAGGAGGCCAAGGTTGCAATGAGCAGAGGTGGTGCCACTGTGCTCCAGCCTGGGCAGCAGAGCGTGTCTTATCTCAGAAAAAAAGAAAAAGAAGAGGAAACGGCATAAGGAGATGAAAAATTTGTCCAAGGTCATATAGCTAGAAAGTGATAGAGCCAGGATTTGAACCCAGGCAGGATGCCTTTAGAACCTGTAATCTTAACCACTATTCTCTCCTACCTTTCTTATTTTTGACCTTTTCCTCTCCAGGTTATTGTTCAGAACTACAACTCTATCTTGACACTTTCTCACTTGTACCGATCTTCAGACGCCCTCCTTGTTCATGAGAATGATGCTGTCCATAAGATCTGTGCAAAACTGATGAATATCAAGCAGATCTCCTTTAGCGACATCAATCAAGTCCTGGCACATCAGCTGGGAAGTGTGTTCCAGCCTACTTACTCTGCAGAAAGCTCATTTCACTACAGACGAAATCCACTAGGTATTTGTCCCTCTATATGTTATTCGTAGGAAAGCCTTATGTTCTGAAAGCTTCAAAGTTTATTCTTTCTGTCTCCTCCTCTGCCTGAAGGTACACTTAGGACTTGCTCATCTCAAAATCCTTTCTTCAGACCTTAGTTCTCTGACTGTCATACTGAAAAACTTTGAGAAGTTGCTAAATTTCCCAAAAGGGCAGTAAGTATCCACTGCTCTTCTTTAGGATTCTTTCTCTCTCTTTTTTTTTTAATAGAAACCATATTGATGTATAACTCACATAGCATGCAATTCACCCATTTAAAGTGTACAAATCAGTGATTTTTTTTTTTTTTTGGTAGAGACGAGGTTTCACCATGACCAGGATGGTCTCGATCTCCTGACCTCGTGGTCCACCCACCTAGGCCTCCTAAAGTTCTGGGATTACAGGAATGAGCCACCACGTCCAGTCAATTTTTTTTTTTTTTTTTTAGACAGAGTCTTATTCTGTTGCCCAGGCTGGAGTACAGTGGTACAATCTTGACTCACTGCAACCTCCACCTTCTGGGTTCAAGCAATTTTTCTACTTCAGCTTCCCAAGTAGTTGGGACTACAGGCATATGCCACCATGCCCAGCTAATTTTTGCATTTTTAGTAGAGATAGTTTCACCATGTTGGCCAAGCTGGTCTTGAACTCCTGCCTTAAATGATCCACCTGCATTAGCCTCCAAAAGTGCTGGGATTACAGGCGTGAGCTACCATGCCCGGTTAGCCTTTTCTTGAGTACAGCAGCCAGACTGAACTCCAGCTTTGCAGTGTTTAAAAGCATAAGTCAGATCCTGTTGCTCCCCTACTCAGAACCTTCCTGAGGTTTCCTGTCTCACCCAGAGTTGTCATTGTGGGCATCAACGTTGTGTTTGGAGATTGAGAATTCAGAGAGGTCCGAGTCTGCCTACTGGCGTGACTTTCCATAGTTGTGCTCTGACAGAGAAGGTAAGGGGTGGGGTTGGTCCAAGACTGGGAGTTTGCCAGAAAGAGGAAGACCGATTGAAAGGCAGGAGCTCCATGGATTAAGGTCTCAAGGAGGTTTAAGAATGGTTAAGGTAGGGCCGGGCGCGGTGGCTCAAGCCTGTAATCCCAGCACTTTGGAAGGCCGAGGCGGGTGGATCACGAGGTCAAGAGATCGAGACCATCCTGGTCAACACGGTGAAACCCCGTCTCTACTAAAACTACAAAACATTAGCTGGGCATGGTGGCACGTGCCTGTAATCCCAGCTACTCAGGAGGCTGAGGCAGGAGAATTGCCTGAACCCAGGAGGCGGAGGTTGCGGTGAGCCGAGATCGCGCCATTGCACTCCAGCCTCCTGAACAACTGCGAAACTCCACCCAAAAAAAAAAAAAAAAAAGAATGGTTAAGGTAGGCTGGGTGTGGTCTGGCCTGGCCAGATGGCAGAGCCACACCTGGCTCATGTTAACTTTCATATTAACAGGTTTTGATTATCACCTAACCAGATACAATATGTAAAAATCTTTTTTTTTTTCTTTACAGGAGACTTAATGGAGCATTTAGTTGCCCATCCTGAATTCAAGATGCTGAGTGTTCGTAACATTCCTCACATGTCTGAGAACTCATTGGCATACAGCACATTTACCTGGGCTGGCCTCCTCAAGCACTTGAGACAGATGCTCATTTCTAATGCAAAGATGGAAGAAGGTAAAGATTATTCTGGCCGGGCACGGTGGCTCACGCCTGTAATCCCAGCACTTTGGGAGGCTGAGGCAGGCGGATCACGAGGTCAGGAGATTGAGACCAACCTGGCCAACATGGTGAAACCCTTTCTCAATTAAAAAAAAAAATTTTTTAATTTAAAATTTAAAAAAGAATATTCCAAAAATATGCAGCCCACAAACTGGGAAAAATGCCTGTCCTGGAGTCTCAATATAAACTGGCTCAGACCAGTTAAAATAATAGTCTCTTCTTCTGGCTAGGGAGGCTCCTGCAGAAACTCCCCAGGACATCCTAGGAGGGCTTCTTAATCACCTTAGTTTTATTACCAAAAGACATTTCAATTGAGTGCCACAATTTTTTGTAATTTTTTAAATTTTAATCAAAGTAATAAATGACCATAGTTTAAAAAATCAAGTAGCCAAAACTCATTTAAATATATACTTAAATCTAGCTGGGCACAGTGGCTCACACCTGTAATCCCAGCACTTTGGGAG